CGTGTGTGTGGGGGGGGGGGCGTGGTGCTCAAAATGGGAACTCTGAGCAGAGCTAGGGGAGGAGGTCCTCAATTGTCACAGAGTATGGACCGACACCAGCTCAGGGATATGATACTCCTGCCAGCATGAGCTGGAGCTTGTGGGACCTTTGATCTATGTCTCTGGGTCCCTGCTCACCTCTTCTTCTGGAGGCCAGAGCTTGTCCCTAGGCCACCAAGAAGGAGGTGAAGTGAAACCTTCCATTCATGGGCAAAGCGGGAGGGCCTGGGCAGGGAGGAGTGATCGGAGGGCGGATTGATTACATCAACTGTTACTGTGTCCATTTTGTCATTCAGCAAAATTTACTGGGTGACCACTGCACGCCGAGCATGTGTCAGGAATGAACAGCACAGAGGCCAGGCCTTGTAGACACAGAGGGATTATTACGGCAATGTGAAAGCCTGAGCGAGGGGCACGTTCAAGGGCAGCGGGAACACAGAGGAGGGCGTGCCAATCTCTGCCGGGGCACGGAGGGAGGCAGGAGAGGCTGCGCAGATAACACGGGAGCTGAGTGTTGAAGGATAACAAGAAGTTCTGCAGATAGAGAAGGGGGAGAGGTAGAAAGAGAGGACAGCAGATGCAAAGGCCCTGAGGCAGATGAGGGATGAGCACAAAGCGAGAAAGGGGAACAGAGCTGGGAGTCTGGAGCCCTATTCTGAGTGGATTTCATCTTGTTTCTTCTTATTATAGCTGTTCATTTCTTCATCTGTTTCTTCTCTGTTTCCCCGTCTAGGATGTCAGTGCCTTGTATGTGTGAAAGGAGGGGGGTAGGGTGGTCTTAGCCTCATTCAGGTCAGCATCCCCAGCTCTTAGCACCAGCCTGGCAGTCAGCAGGAGCTCAATAAATGGTTATTGGATTGAACTGAATGCTTAAGATAAATGTGGGGAGGGGAAATGGAGAGAGGGGAAATTAATGCTGAGACTCAAGCAGGGCTTAGAGGGACAGGGCCGATTCCAGTTGCTAGCAAACCACCCCTGTGGCCTGAGCCATGGCAGGGGATGTGCAATTGGAGATGACAAGCAATGTTTCCCTGTGCGGGGCAGAGGATGATTTGTCCCGCTCTCCCTGAGGCCTTTGGGGTCATGCTCTAGAGGGGGCAGGGCAGCCCAGAGTCCCTGTGGGTCTCCGGGGCGGAGGGACACAGGGCAGCGGCTACACTCACCAGCGCTGGCAGCTGCGTCCACAAAGGTGCCATCACCTCGGTTATGGAAGAGGAAGTTGGGTCCATTCTCGTTGTCACAGAAGATATCCGAGGCACTGCTGCTGAGGATGGGACCCACGCTGACACCCCGGCCTCCTAGGAGAGGACATTGGCTCACAGTAAGTGGCAGAAGCAAAGCCCCAGTTCTGTGTAGAGGACGTGGCTGCCTGTGAGGCCTGTGAGCAGCTGTGCCAGTGATGCCTCAGAAGAGACTGGGGGCGGGGTGGGGATCCTGACCTTCCAGAGGCTTCCCTGAGCCCAGATCTGGGCTTAGAGTCCCACAAACCGATGTGGAGGGTGACCACACTGATGTTGATGCAAATGAGGAGTGAGACTAAGTCACTTTGTGCCAAAGGAATGATTCCATGAACTAGGGAACAGAGAGATGGCTGAGTTACAATAATCCCTAAAGCCAGCTCTAACCACAGTATTTTGGTTAAGTCATAGATTTCCCTGACAACCCCACCCACACCTCATTATATATATGCTGGTCAAGACGCGGGGTGAGTTCCCGTTCTAAGAACTTGCAGGAATAGGCTCCAGCTATAGGCACAAGATGCGTACCTTGCTTTGTTTGACATAGTGAGCAATTGGGAACAGCCTGCATGTCCATCACCAGCAGCTGGTTGTTGGATTATGGTGCACACATATGACAAAGCATTCTGTAGCTACTAAAAAGACAGCATGGATCCATATGTACTGATTTGGAGGAGTGCCCATGACATATTTTTTATGTAAAAAGCAATTTGGCCTTGGCAGGGTGGCTCAGCTGGTTGGAGCGTCGTTCCATACACCAAAAGGTTTCAGGTTTGATTTCTGGTCAGGGCACATACCTAGGTTGCGGGTTCGATTCCTGATTGGGGCGAACACAGGAGGCAACCAATCTGTTTCTCACATTGATGTGTTACTGTCTCTCTCCCCCACCCCTCTCTCTCCCTTCCTCTTTTTCTAAAAATCAGTGGAAATGTCCTCAGGTGAGGATTTAAAAAAAACCGCATTTGCCAAGTAATCATATTGTGTAATCTTACTCTTCTTTAAAAAAAGAAAAAAAAAAGAAAGGAAAATACATGACTTTTCTGAACATGTTTGTGCAAACTTGTTTTTGAGTTTGGGGGAAAGCGGGAAAGGCTACATCCTCAGCCACCCTGGCTACTGGGTGGGGTAGGATTTGGGGAGGGAAGAAGAGATGGTAGTTGGCCTTTTTTGTGAATGTCTTCATATTGTTTAGCTTGTTCCAACAAGAACTGTTTCTTTAGTTTAAAAGGAAAAAAAATCCAATGAAGTGTATTTATTTAATTATTTAAAGAAAGAAATCAAGCCAACCTACATTAGGGTCTGAAGTCTTCAAGATCAGCTTTGGGCTACCCAAGTCAACAAGTCCAATCTTCCAACATTGTGGACAAACCACCCTAACAACTGGAGTTCAAATAAAGCCCTGAAAACCACACCCCCAAACATTGGCAATACAATGCAGAAAATAGCCTGACCAGGACCAGGACATGGATTCTAGTCCCAGTGTGGCCTTTTTTTTTTTTTTTTTAACGTTTTTATTGATTTCAGAGAGAGGAAGGGAGAGGGAGAGAGAGACAGAAACATTAATGATGAAAGAGTCATTGATTGGCTGCCTCCTGCATGCCCTCTATTGGGGATTGAGCCCACATCTGCCCTGACCGGGAATCGAACAGAAATCTCCTGGATCATAGGTTGATGCTCAATCTCTGAGCCACACCAGCCGGGCCCCAGCGTGGCTTTATACAAGACGATGTGACCTTGGGTAATCTGAGTTACCCGTTTAGCCTCAATTCCCTCATCTGCAAAATGGGGATAATGTGACCTGCTTTTGTTATTTCTGGGTTTTTGAGGAGATCAAGTGAGGTGAGCTACGTGAAAGGTCTTTGTGAATCCTATGACCTTGCTGCTCAGAGTCAGGGCCATGAACCCGCTGCAGGGGCATCACGTGGGTGCTTGTTAGAATGCAGAGTCTCAGGCCCCTCCCCAACCAGGCCTTGCATTCGAACAGGACCCCTGGTGGTTTCTGTGCACAGTGAAGTCTGAGAAGTGCTGCAATAAAGGGCTATTCAGTGCTGTAAGAATAGTTATCAGAGCACACAGAAGAACTTGATTTTTTTTTTAAGTAAATGAAAGCTTAGGCAGACTCAAGTGATGTTGGGCCAGGAGCTCCCTGCCTGCTGCCTCTGGGTGCAGCAGAGATTTCCACAAAGCGACTGTGCCAATTTGGGAAGGTGGTTCTCTTGGTCCCCAGGCTCCTCCTGTCCTCTGAGAGATGTCCCTGAAGGAAATCTGAAGGAAATCATTGGGCCTTTCTCACCTGTGCAAATGCATGGAGCCTGACCACAAGGGCCAGTGTTTGGGGACAGGGGAAGGGATGGGGCAAATGGCACTGTCACTCTCATGGTGAGCCTTCTCATTAACACATTCTGGGCCTTGTGCCTCCCGATTCCTCCCAGGTAATCTCATTAGCTCTCAAAGCGAGCCCAAGTCTCATAAAAATGAAGCCACTAAGTCCACAACACGCTGGGGAGCATCATCCAAGATGCGACCAGCGCTTTTCATTAGGAGAGCCACAGTGAAGGGTGGGAAGCCTTCAGATGCCTGTCCTAAAGCCAGCAGGGAGGGTGCTGGGCCACAACCTGGGCACCGCTGTTGCCCAAACAGGAGCTGCTGAGTGGCTGTTGGCAGCTGTCCCTGCCCTGGTCGTGCCAGACTCCAGCCCAGTAGCAGGCTTCAGTGAGAAGCTCCTGGCCTTGCCTGGGCCCCTGGAAATCCCAGGTGGGACTCTGGGACTTGCTGCCCCACTCCAGCATCCTCCAATTTCCTCTCTGCCTCTGGCTCCCAAGCTGTGACACATTCCCTTCATTTTCTACAAAGCAGGTTATTTCCCTCTTGGACAAAATTCTAAATCTTTCTAATTAACTAATTGGGTTGGGTTGAAGCCTTCCACCATTTGTAACCTGTAATTACTAGAAAATTGCCATGGTAACCACACTACTAATTAGTGACAATTTATTGCCATGGCAATCAGACCATAACAGAGATGTTACCCACAACTCCTTCTTGGCAAGTTCGCTGCACAGTTAGGAGCAGGTGAGTTGACAGTTGGGGAGCCGGCCTCTTGGGCACTGGTCCCAGCAGCCTTGGGGGGGAGGGGCAACCTGCGGTCTGAGGCAGGGGCAGCCAGGAGTCTGCACCCCTCAATGGTGCCACAGGGGAAAGTAACTCTCCTCTCAGGTCGATCGTGTAAGTCTTCCTTAAACCAATAAAATCCATCCATCCTAAGTGTAGCCTGACACTCCCACCCCCTGCCTGGTCAATGACAGAGGCCCCTTACTCAGCAAGTATCTTTTGCCTGGACCTTTCCCTTCCTCCCCCTGCCTTTCCCCCTCCTCCGTCACACCCTCCTGTCCTCCCCTTCTTAAGGTTTAGCACACATCTTCTGGGGCTACCGAGGGGCAGTTAGGAACATCTCTATTTGGCCTTGGAGAATGATGCCCCAATAAGGAGTTAAACTCCACTCCACATCAATGAATTCTTATATACTTGAGGCAGGCACATCCTCTTAGGGACAAGCAGTTCCCTGGTTGGGGCTCGAGAGGCAGCACTGGTGGTGGGAAAGGCTGAAGGTCAGGAAGTTCAAGCTCTGTGACCTTGGGCACAGCACTGGACCTTTCTAGACTTCTTGTTTTCTCACAAGAGAAAGACTGACAATAATAATAGCTCTTTCTCAGGGCTGTCATAAATATTGTCAGCTGGTTTTTGGAAGGTATCTTGGAAAATGTCAGGTGCCACACAGTCATTAGCTGGGACTATTTCCCACCTGCTGGGTGAGTAATATGCCTTCCAAGGCCTCCTGGTTCTGTGTTGGGTGTGAATGCTGCTCCCTGCCCATCTCTTCCTGAAGGCTTCTCGGCCCACCAGGCTGGGTGGGTGAGGTGGAGTTACAGGGGAAAATGTGTCCCCATGGCTCCCTCTCCCTTTTGCCACATTCCGGCATCCCCTTCGATGATCGGCTCATTGGGCCCGAGCCCCACGGGGCAGCTTCATTTACCCTCAAGAATTGCACCCCTCAACCTCTGAACCCTGCACTTGGGTGAAGCAGACTCAAGTCCAATTGGTGTGCAGGTCATCCATCTATCAGACCATATCTGGGTCAGCACACAGGGTGGGGGTGCGGGGTGTGGGGGTGAGGAAGGGAAAGAGAGGTTGTGGGAAAGAGAGTGCGTGCTGCTGAACCACCCCAAACAGTGGGCCTGAGGATACAGGGACCAAGAGGCAGGGGGATTCTTTGTGCTAAGGAAAAGCCTCTAGGTTCTTGCCCCACCTCTGCACCCCCTCTGGCCACAGGAACTTGGGAAGTGCGCTCTCCAGGCCTTGATCCCACTCCCTGTGAAATGGGTGGGGGAACAAGATCTCCAAGGCTCCTTCCACCTCTGCTCCTCAGTGCATCCTCTAGGCTGGGCCCCAGGGCAAACATGGTTGGGAGTGGAGTCCTGGGCCCATCCAGACTCGGCATCATGGAGGCTGAGGCTGAGACGAGGCCTGTCGGCCAAGGAACCTGGACCTGTGACAGCAGTCTGCTGACACCTCGACAGAAATATGATGCTGGTGCACGCCAAGGCTGTAGGCTGCCAAGCACATCCAAAATATTGTAAAAGTAGCAAAGACGCTAGAAAATGCAGGGGTGGAGGAATGGGCAGCGTGTGTGTGCGTATGTGTGTGTATGTGTGTGTTGGAGAAGGGGGTGTGGGGGTAAGGGCAGGGTGGTGACAGGGTCTCTCGCCCTAAATTTCCCGAAAGTTCTAACATGTAATAACACTGTGTTGGTGCTAGTGTTGCGTGGCCCCCATGCCCCCCAGCCCTCTGTGAGCTGTCAGATCTGGGCAGGGTGCCGAGTGTGCGGTTGAACAGGGTATTAGACAAGGACATTCACTGCTCCCCGATCCTCCCTGCCCATCCCTGCAGGATGCTGAGGGGCAGGTGAGCAGGAGGACAGGCATTTGTTTGCTGGGTGGGGAGTCCCACACGTGGGGCACCAGGGGGTTACAGGAGGGAAGTCTATCCTCACCGCCCCCACCCCCCAGCAGTGAGGGGGCTGGAAGAAACCATTTCAGGAGAGAGGGTAGGGAAAGGAGTGGCAGGAATAGCTCCTTTGGCAACCTGTGTACCAGACATTGAACACGTTTCATCTCACCTCACCATTTCCTAGGTGAGGAAACCGAGGCTCAGAGAGGAGCAATGGCAGCCACCAGGCAATAGATCACAGTTCAAACCCTCGTCTGGGTGCCCCCAGAGCCCGGGCTGTCCCCACAGTGCACTCTCACACATTCCTACTAAAGTTCCCTCTGGCCAGAGGAGCCATCTGTACTTCTGGAGGGGCCCAGAGGAGCCAGCCACAGGCTTGACATTTCTTTAAAACTTATTTTAGCTGAAGAAAATGTGTGCAAAGGTTGCATTTGTATAGTACAACATGTCTGTGTTTGTTTTGAAAGAAAAGTGACGTCCCCTCTTGTCAATCATCAATGTGTCTGATAGCCTGTGCATCTCAGGGCTTTGGACACCCCTGGCAGGGGTTCCGGGCCCTGGCTGAGGAGCTTGTCACTCCAACCCTGCCTGTCCCTGGCTGTCAGATCTGGCTGCACTCCCGCTGCAAGGCTGCGCCTGTGGGGAAGCTGGGAGGCTCCGCGGCCCACACTCTGCCGCTCCTGGTCACCTCTCCAGAGCTGGCTGGTGGGGATCGGCCAGAAGGCCTCAGCTGGGCTTTAGGCATCTCTGTCTCCTCCAATAATGACTTCCTATAAATCAGATCTGCCCTCGCTTTGTTCTGCACTGCTCCCAGCCAACAGCGAAACTCCCCACCCAACATCGTAAATCCACCTTCATTTTCTTTTCAAATTTCTTTAAGGCTTCTTTAATAACCACCTTGCAGCCCAGACAGATGCTCCCTTAAAGGGTGGGGCCAGAATGCAGAGTTCCTGGGGAGGGGTGGAGTTCGGGGGAGGCAGGGTCAGGGAGAAGGGAAGAGATGGATTCCAGTGGAGACAGGGATGAAGAGGCCCATGTTTGTGCCCAGGGCTGGAGGACAGGCTGGGCACACATGGAGAATGCCTCCAGGGCAGGGGCTAGGCCTACTTTCTTTGTGCTTCCCCCTGTGCCCAGCATGGCACTCCCTACATCCAGGAGATGCCCAGCAGAGGGCCCTGGCATCACTGTCGGGTCCTCAGGGGAGGAGGGTGTTGCTGTTTGCTACACTTCGTGGGCACTGCCTGTGTGCTAGGCCCTGTGCCTGGCATGTCCATGTTTACCTCCTTTCATTCTCACAATAACCCCATTTTGCAGGTGAGAAAACTGAGGCCCTCAGAGGGTAGTAATCACACCTCTACTGCTGCCTGGACAGGACATGGTGGAGGCAGAATCTGTACTTGGCCCTCTGGCTCCAGATACTGTCCAAGCAGCTGTTCGATGGCTAGTTCAAGGGGCTCACAGGGGCTAAGGGACTTGCCCAAGGTCACTTGGGCCCCAGAGGCGGTGCAGACCTCTTGGTCCCCATCTTCCCCCTCCTTGGGTTCCATGCCAGGCCCTCTGCCACAGGGAGAACTGATTCTCAGGATTCCCAGGAAGGGTAGTTCCCCTCACTTTCCAGGCTCCAAGAGGCTGTGAGCAGCTGCGGAAGTCAGGGTTTGGGATTCTCATCGAACCAGAAACCATGGGGAGTGGCTTTCCCCCAGCTCAACTCAGCGCCAGTGGCTCTCCCAACAGCACCCTCCAGGGGCCCTCGAGTCCTCTGAGTCCCCCGAGAGTAGGCATACTGGCCGCTAGATGGCACTGTGACCCAGCAGAGCTGCTGTCGCCAGAGGCATCCCGTCTGGAGAGGAGGCCTCCCCTCCCCCTCCAGAGGAGCTGGACAGCCGGCGACAGCAGTGCCATCACCCTGGGCTGCTGAGGATAGGGCTGCTGGGGCTCCCCATGCTGCCCTGGGCACCCCAGGCCAGGCAGCCGCATCAGCCAATTGGAGACCATAATGAAAGCTGAGTGCCAGTCCCTGGGGCTGTGTTCCCGGTGGATATGGGGCCTTTCTCCTTCACCAGCTCTTGTCAAACTGAGGGTCATCAGAAAGGTCAGCTGGTTGGTGTAGTTTAGGCATCGGAGGATGGGGCTCTAACTGCTAGTTTTTCTGCACCCTCCTGTGTGACCTTGGGCAAGTCCCTTCTGTCTCTGGACCTCTATTTGTTCTTTGGTAAAGTGGGAAGTTCTCTGAGGTCTGTCCAGCAGATGGGTGTTGTGTGTCTTGGTTCCGGGGACCTGCGGCTCCCTGACTGCACATCTGGCCATGGCTTGCTACTCTCCCAGCCTGCTCAGGGCCCTGCCCCTCGCGGCCTGCTTCCTCACCCATTCCCAGTCCCCATGGCACTGGCCATGTGCCAGAGCCTCAGCATTCAGGCTGGGCTCCGGTGGTGGTCCTTACGTTTGGGGTCCATTCCTAGGACTCAGGGGGTGCTCTGGGCTAGTTGTCCAGCCAGATGTCCACGAGTTGTTAATGGAATGACAACAGGGGCTGCAGGGTAGAGTTGGGGGGCTTGGCAGGCAGGGAAAGGGTGAGCTGTGGAAGGCGGGCAGACATAATAGTAACTTGGTGGGCCAAATACATTCTTGTCAGCCAAATGGCTTTTGGAAGTCTGCAAAGCTGCTCTAACGTGTCCTCTGGGCATGCCAGCTGCCCTGGCCTGCCTGTGAGCTCCACAGAAGCTGCTGTCCCTTCCTTGAGCTGCCCCTGTCCTTCCAGCACAGCCCGGCACAGTTGGCTGCTGCTCCCATCCCCATCCATGCTCCTCAGCTGTTTCCTCTTGGTCCCCTCCTTCCCCCTCCTTGGTTCCTGCCAGCCCCTCTGCCAGCCCAGCCAGCGTGAACAATGTCCCCTTCATGCTCAAACCCAGCTACAACCTTCTGAATTCTTTTATTCTGTGTATAACCCTCTTTCCCAGACCTTGCCTCCCTTCCATCTCATCATTTTCAAGTGCTACATCCACCCAGGCCTCCCTCCTTCTCCTGCAGATCAAGGCATTTAATTGCCAAGCCAGCCCAGTGCACAGAACTGGGACCTATTCAGAAAAACAGATTGTACAAATCTAGGCTGAAGCTCCTGCATGTTTAGTTCCTTTCCCAGGAAAACATAGTTTATTACTGACACTCCGTCTTTCCGCTGCACATCCATGTGTGGAGCTCTGGAGGGCTTTGATGGGGGTTGAGCTGCGCAGACTATTTTATTGTCTAGTCATATGTTCCCACAAACTTTGTGAGACAGGCCAACATCAATCTCCCCCTTTCACCGAGGAGGAAAGTTGGCTAGAGGAAGGCATCATAAACTCAGGGAAGGCTGTGACAATCCTTTCTGGGTAGGACTTTTAGATTATGCCACTACCCAGGTGTTTAGAGGCAGAGGGACAGCCCAAATGACCTCTCACGTATCCCCCCCGCCCCAGGATTTGGATTCGGGCACGCTGCCACCTTAAGTCTGTGGTGCAAACTGGGATGGATATATGGGGAAGGTCAACCAATAAGAGAACTTCTCAGTCCAGAGGGCAGATGTGGTGTGAGTGAGGCTGAAGTTCATGGGAGAAGCTGTTGTGCACAGCTCTGGCTTCCTGATTTCTGGCACCCAGAACAGAAGCTGGGTTGCTCTGCCATCAGCAGTCTATTGGCAGATTATCAGAGTTTAGTCAGCAGCCGTGCTGGAATTAGAAAAACAGCCTTCCCTAGAAAGATCTTCCTGTCAGAGACTCTGACAATAGGTCCTCCATCCAGAAAGAGGTGGTGGTGGTGAGGGGGGAGCTGGCCTTCCAAAAAAGTGCCGGAGAGGTTTTGGAACAAGAACACAATTCTTTGAGCTCAGTTATCCGAGACGGGACCCAGCTGAAGCTTAGGGATTTAGCTTGCACTCAATTCCTGGCTGCTTATGTGTAAGTAAATAATTTCATCTGCTCTTGGCAATAAAGAATGCTTTAAATCTCAGCCTTTGTGACTTGTCAGTTTTCTCCTACAGAACCTGTTCACCTGTCATTTGGGTCACAGCAGGGAATGGAGCAAGAGGTTCCAGGGACAGGATATTACAGCATTCATACCCTATGTCCCATGCACCCCAAGGGGCCCCCTAAAGCCCACACCTGCCAGGTATCTCATCAACCCTTGGAGAGGCAACGTTGGAGGAGCCCTCTGTGGGTGGTGGGATGGAATAAAGTCTTCATTCTTCCTCCCCAGGGACACCAACCCATCCTCTCCTGTGGTCTCTGATGAACTAGACTCAGCCTTGTAAGGCCTGCCCCACAGCCCCAGCCCTCACCCCTCCAGCTCGTAGCCTCCCATGTCACTCTGCATACCTGTATACTTGCTGACCCCTGCCTCAGCAGCCACGTCTCTGAGCGCCAGAATGCCCCGGGAGAGGTCACTGGCCTCGGGGTCCATTTCAATGAGGGCATCAGGGCCCACGTTACCGTAGGCATAATTGGCGATGTAGATAGAGTAGCGTCCGGAGCCCTGAGGAGGAAGGGAAGGAGGTGAGCAGGCCCATCTGGCTCATGGAGGTCTTTCCCCCAGAAAGCAGCTGTTTCCCTCCTCTCGCAGGACCACAGCTCTTTCACGGGGTTGGGCTCTTCTCCCTGGGTCTGGTGTGCATGGCCTGGCAGGCTGTGCACTGCACAACTCCAGAGGGGCTTTTCACAGAGGCTACAAAGTGCACGATGCCCCCTGGAGCCCCACAAAAAAAGCCACCCTCCTTTTTCTATCCTGTTCCAGAAGAGCACATCCCTCCCTCTCCCCCACAACCACCTTTTTATAGACAATTTTCTAATGTGCCTCCCTCCAGCTGAGCTCTCTCAAGCTGCCAGCCAGGGTAGCTGCTCAATAAATATTTGCTGATTGATTGATCTACCAGCTCCCATTATTCTGTCTCTCTCTCATTCAGGCTCACTCCAGCCTAGATGACAAGCAAATTCCTGAGACATCTCCCTCCCCCTTCCCACCCTTTGCTTCTTCATTCCTCTATCTTGGTAGCACGAGGCTCAGATATGCAGGGGTCTTCCTTCCCTCTTCCATTCCTTTGTTTCCCCGCATTATATAGAAAGAAATATTATACTGCTTCTGCGTTTATAACTCCGTCTCAGATATTTTCTCCTTTGCATTTCCTTGGCGCCGTAGTCACTCTTCTGTAGTCCACAACACTGCTGATGAAAGGTTCTTTCCTGCCCGTCATTATAATGGTGTTATTCCTTCAATGGATGCCTCCTCTCCCCCAAGAGATCCACACAGTTTCCAAATCAGTTTCTAGCTTTCCTCTCACCCTTCTCAACATTTCCCTCCAATTAATCAGACAGTAGGTATTTCTTGAGCTCTAACTACGTGCAAGGTGCTCTGCTATGAATGTACCTAAGACAAGGTCTTCATTCTTAGGCTGCTTGTAGCCGAGTTTAAAGGCAAGCCGTAAACACAAAACAGTGCAAGAGAAACGGCTGAGTTCAAGGCGAGAGTGTGCTCCGTCAGCCCCTCTTTGCAACCCTCCCGCTTGCTTCTGTTTCTTACCCGATGGCCCCGTTGGCACAGCCCCGTTCCAACTAACTGGTCACTGACTTCATCTGTTCTTTGGGACCATATCCTTTGGGAAAGCTAATTAAGAGCCACTTGGTGGGTGAGGCCACCAAAGGACCTCGGGGTGTCCTGGGGGATGCAGAAGCGTCAACAATCATACAATTATATATATCTGAGAGAGTGCGTTCAAGGTTCCCTGGGTGCACAGAAGAGGGGCTCCTAACCCAGAGGAAGGGCACCTAGCCATTGGAAATTCAGAAGAGGTTTTCTAAGAGGAGTCTCAGCCAGGTGAAGTGGAGGGGAAAGAACCTTCCAGGCAGAGATGAGACAGAGAATGATGTATGTAGGGAAACCACAGGCAGTTTGCTCAGTGTTGCTGGAATGTAAAATGCAAGGCAGGCATGTCAGGGGACAGAGCTGGAGAAGGTGGCAGCGCTGCCCCCTAAGGACTTGTATACCCTTTCTTTTTTGGTTGCGTCTCTATCCTGCTACTTGGGAGTTGATGTTTTACAAATCTTTTAACTCAAAGGGGGCCCTGGACCAGCAGCACTGGTGTCATCTGAGATCACGTTAGAGCTCTCAGGCCCCACCCAGACCTGCATTTTCACAAGACGCCCAGGTGATTCCTGTGCACAATGGGAGTTTGCGATGCACGGCTTTGCAACATGGCTTCACGATTAGGGGAAAAGTGTGAGAGGTTCTTGGGGTCACAGGAGCTTGGCATATGTGTGTGGAATGACTGGATAAAGAGTGAATGAATGGGGCCAAAGGGGAAAGCGCACCATCACTGTAACTGTTCCTGACCCTACCAGCTGTTAGCAATTTCATCAACAAATCGGTGGTTAAAGCCTAAATAAACCGAAATGCACTCCGTTAGAAATTAGGATATTTATAAAATTCACTTATACCTAGTTCCTTACTTCCATGTATTGGGGTGGTTAAGGTGACAAACATAGGTGTGTGACAGTTATAGGAGGTGGCAGGAATTCACGTGTGAACTTGACCACATCATTCTGGGAGGGAGAGATGGAGGTCATTCCAGGAAAAGGAAGGTGTTTCTGTGGCTCTGGGTCTAGGAAAGTGGGTCCCTCCATTTAGCTTAACACGTGGAAGGCTTGTTAAAACGTAGATGCAGGGTTCTATCCCTGGAGTTTCTGACTCAGGAGGTCTGGGGTGGCCCTGAGAACTTGCATTTCTAACAGGTTCCCAGGTGAAGCTGTCGCTATTGGTCCAGGAACCACACTTTGAGAACTGCTGGTCTAGGGCCATTAGCCTGGGTCCTGGTCCAGGCCCTACCCGACTGGCTCCTTGTCCTTGGGCAGATTCTTCGCCCGCTTCTGCTGCACCTCCTCACATGTTAAATGGGGGTCATGTCCTCCCTGCCAGGGAGAACCCTCCTGGCAGGGTTGTTGAGAAGATAAAATGAGACAATGCATGTGAAAGGTCTTTGAAAGATAAAAATGCTATATAAACGTGAGGCATAATCATTATCGATCAGGGAACGCTTCTTGTAAGAGATTGGCTTTGAGTTGGATCCAGAAAGGTGGGTGAGTGACGAGGCAGCTGAAGATGAAGGGCAGGCAGTGTTCCAGGCTCCGGGCAGAGAACAAACGAGGGCTGGAATGGGAGAGCGAGGGAACGGCAGGTGGTAGGGGTGAGACGTTTACCTGGTGCGATGGTCCTCAGGCTGGAGCTGGCATGGGAATCACCTGCAGGGCTATAGCTGAAACCCAGACGGCTGGGCCCCGCCCCAGGGCTTCTGATTCAGCAGCCTGGGCGGTGGAATGGATGGGGCCTGAGAATGTGCATTTCTAACGGTGCTGATTCAGCTGGCTGGGGGCTACACTTTGAAACCCACTGACCAGGTAGACTAAAAGACCCCAGGTGGGGGCTGTGGGGTTGAGAAAGGAGCAGGGCAAATGCCATGACCGAACTTGTGGTGAGAAATTTGTGTCTGATACAGGTTCACTCAGAGGCAGGGGTAGCCGAGGAGTAAAAGGGTGTCAGATTCATTTTCAGGCAGGCAGGACTCAATTCTTGGCTTTGCCTGCCACTTACTATGTGACCAAGGTCAAGTTACTTAATGGCTCCAAGGGTTAGTTCTGTATCTGTAAAATGGGAAAAAGGTGAGCATCTACCTCATAGGCTTAGAAGGATTCAATGAGATGATGCTTACAAACCGCTTAGCACAGGCTGGACACGTTGTTAGTTTAATAAGTGATAGCTATTGTCACGATCGCTCTCGCATTTTCCTACATCACGCTGCATTCCTCTCTCTCAACTTCCAGACTGGGTTTGACCTCTCCCTACTCCTCCCTTCCACAGTTCTCAGGCCCCAGGGACTGCCAAGGTGGTGGCGGACTCAGAGCAACCCCTCTGCTGGTGGCAGACAGGCTGAGGCTCCGGCTGAGCAGGGACCGAGCGAGCTGCTAAGTGCCCGCCTACCGTGCTGCGTGCCAATGTCTTTTTTTTTTTTTTTGTATTTCGCATGGTGCCTTTGTCCTGTGGTTAAATGTGTGGGTGTGCAGATGACCTTGTTAGGACAGAGAGCGCATCTCTTTGTGATTAACCTTCAGGCCCTCCCACCAGCTCTGAGAAGGCTCCCACCTTAGCAGAGTGTGGGAAGCCTTGTTCCTGAAAGTCCAAGACAGGAAGCCAGTAGGAGCCTGGGTAGAGGCCCCCAGCAGCTGCGGGCCTGGCACCCCTCAGACCCTCCCCACTCTCTGGGGCCGCTCACAAAGCCGCCTCTCCCTTCCCTCCTGCCAAGCAGGAGTCCAGGTGGCACTGATTCAGGTCAGGGCTAAATGTGGCTTCACAGCCCAGCTTGGCTTCTCTTCTCAGCACCAGCTTGTTAAGAAATAAATATTTATACCTGGCACCTGCCTTCTCCCACGTTCTGGCGGCCCCTGCTGTGAAGGTTCACGCTGAATCCCCAATCCCCTCTGTGCCAGCTCAATCCTGAAATGAGCCAGCCCCCTTGCCCCTGCTCCAGAATGGGGGCCAGGGATGCTCCGTGGAAGCTGGGCAGCAGCTGGGTCCCTGATTTAGTGATGACTGTTTTGTAAAGTCAAGGAGGGGGTGGCAGGGGAGCAGGTGACAGGAGGGATAAATCACCTCCACAGCAAGCCTCCAGCTCTGGCTGGGACATAAGCGTGGCAGGGGTGGCCCCACAGGGCAGATGGCTGCAGCTGCTCCAGCTCCTCCCCACTTGGCCTTTCTTCCCCACCCTTCTTGCAGGGTGACTAGCAGGGCAGGAAAACATTGATGGAGCTATTGATGAACTAAAGTACCTGTACACTGTGGCAGCCTCCCACTCACCCACCCGTGTGCCCTTTTGTCATGCTTTCATTTGTTCAATATTTACAGGGGGCCCTGTGGCTCAATGCCTGGCGCATAGTAGGCACTTAACAAATATTAGTTGAATGAATGAATAAGCACAGGTTTAGAGCTAGAAGATTCTGACTCAGGTCCTAGCCACACCACCCATCCATTTTGGGTCCTCAGGCAAGTCGCTGCTCTAAGCTGGGCCTCGGTGACACTGTCCAGTGGATGACAGCTCCTGGCCAGTTTCCTCACTTGTTGCTGGGAGGGCCTCACAGAAGAAAGGATGTGAAAGTATATTGTAACTCATCCTGCAAGTATTGGTTGTTACTGTTTAGTACCTACTATGTGCAAGACATTGGGAGCTGCTGAGATGGTGCAGCCTTCGGCTCTGCTCTTGGAAGCCACACTCTGTATGGGGATTCTGCCGGTTGGCCTCCCTCTGGCTCTCACATGGCCATGTCCCCCCTCGCCCCAGGCCCATCGTGTAGCCCCGAACTCACCGTCCTGTCCACACAGGCTACAGAGCGCCCGGCAAAGAGGCTGGCCACACCGCGGGCTACGTTGACTTCGTCGCTCAGGATGTCTTCCCACCTGCTATTGCGGAACTTGAACAACTTGTCCGTGTACGTGGCCACCCCTGGAGAGAGGAGGAAAGGGAGGCTGGTGGACGGTGGACCGTCCAACAGGTATGTCTCGGAGTACCTGCCACAGGGGTTAGGGCCACAGGTGGATGGGTCATCTGCTCAGGGTGAGCACTCCTTGTAGTATTCACTCAAGCAGGCGAGACTCCTGTGTTTGGGGGGCTGTCAGACATTCTCAGTTGAGAGCAGAGACTCTGAGGCTTATGAAAATGGGTCAGCCCAGCCTCAGGAACTATGGAAGAGATGTTACTGCTACCATGTGTCTGAGATGACCCTCACAGCTGGATTTCACTGTCTGCATGTGCTCCTATCACATCGTCAGGGAGATCTAGGATTGCCAATATTTCAGCACCCAAACTCAACCCAGAATGTCTCTTTGTCCAAGAGCTACATTCTCTGCTGGACTGCAGGACCTGATTTGGGCCTCAGAAAAAACTGTGTGGGTCTCTAAGCCCTGATCATGGAAAGACTGGAAGCTGAGCTCTGACAGGTCTGTCACCTCCACCCTCAGGGAGCCAGGTGGCAGTAGGCTCAGCACTCAGGCAGCCCTGAGAGATCCCTGCTCTCAGGACCAGAGAGCCCTAGAAGGTAGTGGTCTCCACCTCTTTGGGATATTGACCCCTTTGAGAACTAGATGTAGGCTAAGGCCCCTCAGCTCAGGGAGTCTGCACCACACAACATGCCATGTGTAATTGCAGGAGGTCTGTGGCCTCCTGAAGGTCATTTATGGCCAAGAAGCTTTATTCTGGGATGTGGTGAGGAACTTCCGGTGGCAGGAGCTCAAGTCCTTCTGAGACCACTAAAGCAGAGCTCTCCCCTCTGCCCTCACCCTTAGTTTATTTCTTGCAAATGTGAGATCCAGAGCATTCATATTTTAGGAGGAATCATATTCTACCCTCAAGGACTTGCAACAGAAACACAGAAGAGTAGCAGCTGAAGGAACTGGGGAAGGTGAGCTTGGGGAAGAGTGGACTTGGGGACAGAGACCCTGGACTTGACTCTTTGGCTGGCCCAGGGGACAGGCAATGGGCCGAGCCTAAAGGGAGCAGCGTGGCACAGTGGTTAAGACCTTGGGGTTTAGAGTAAATGAGGCAGAAGCTCAGTCTCAGTTCCACCCAGATTCTACTTCTAGGTTTTAGTTGTTGACTTTGGGCAAGTTGCTTAGCATCTCTGAGCCTCAGTTTTTTTTTTTTTAATAAAAGGGAATGACAATAACTGCATTCAGTTTACCTTGAAGAATAAATGAGATGATGCACATTAAAGGTTTAGCATAGAGCTCCTAAAGTGGTATGTATTAGACAGAAATAAATTATTCCCATTTCATAGACGAGATGCTCTTAAGGTCCTTTAGGGACATAAGGTCTCCACTGCACGGGTTTGGTGAGAGCCAGTGTGGGAATGAATAAGTGAATGAATGAATGATAATGAATGTGGGAGAGTGAGAGTGGGAGAGTGAGTGTGCGAATCTGAGGAGTGTGAGTGTATGTGAGGGAGTGTGAGTGTGACATGAGTAGGTGTGTGATAGTGAATGAGTGTGAGCATGTGTGGGTGAGGGCAGTGTATAAACGACCCCTCCGGTGGCTCTGCCCAGGAGAGGACAAAAGGGCTTGCCCTCTGGGTGGCCTCACATGGGGCTTCCTAACACCTTGGGGCCCCATGGAGGCTGGTGCCTAGCCTGCGGGGTCTGGAGTTGGTCTCAGGGATGTTCGCCAGACACCCTGGGAGGGAAAGGCCCTTCATGAGCAGAGCGGGAAGCAGGAGACCGACAGGTGTTTGTTCAGCTGGAGGCTTGGGCTGGGGAGCTGCAGGGGGTCTGTGCAGAGCTGCTGTGGCTCGGGAGGGATGCCCACTGGGGCAACTAAGGGGCTGAGTCCCGACAGAAGCACAGGTGCAACTCGGACTGCGGGAGCTCAGGGGCCTGGGCCGGTTCTTTCTTTTCTCCCAGCCTTCATTTCCTCTATGAGAGTTGGGGGTGACAGCTGTTCCCCCTCCCCCACAGCATCAATGTGGGAATTATAGGAGAAATCGCACTGAAGCCTGGCCCCAGGTCCGGCACCCCGAATTGCTCACTGGTAGCTCTGTACCCCTAAGTCTGCAGCCCCTTGTAGTAATCCCTAGGGGTCAGAGGCATTTAGAAATTCAGATTTTTCTTTCCTGGTTTAGAAATGTAACAGTGCACACACCGTTTATTACATAACACCCCCAGCAGGGGCTGGGGCGGCACCCCATAATTAAACACATTAATATTTCTGCAGTGAAATATATGAATATTCACATGAAGTGGGATAAATAAAGCCATAAATAGCTCACGTCAGCTCAGGACAGGTTTTGCTATTAGTTCATTTTCCCGCAAACACAAAAAAAGCACTTGAGGCTTTCAGAGCATCGTGGATTTCAGGACTGCAGACAGGGACTGTGGACCCAGACTGCGATTCTCGCGGCTGTACCCAAGGCAGTGGCAGCCTTGTCATCACTTCCTGATGCCTGGGGGGCCTCCGAATGGCCCTGCAGGCTGCCCGGTCTCCAGCCTTCACCAACAGCGAGTGACCCTTGCCCTTCTCTGTCAAACCGGGGCCCCTTTAGACCGTCCTTTCAGCTGGTCTAGTCTCCCCTGAAATACCAAGACTCAGCTCTACCAAGCGTGGCCAGGTGAGAGGGCAGCTGCCGGCAGCCGGGGCTCTGTGCGGCTCTGATGGGCACCTTTGCGTTTAGCGGGAGAAATGGCTCAGCCACTGACTTCTGCCTCAGCTGGACAGGAGGAGAAAACGGGCCCAGGTGACTCTACCCTCGTTTGCCTCATCACCTCCAATTCCACCCAAAACAATATTTCTCAAAGTGTGCTTTGTGGAACCCTGTCCTCTGTGAGCTGCCTGGAGAAAAGACTTGGTGATCGTTAGAGTTAGGGGAAGATCACGCCTTCCATCTCCTTCTTGGGGATTCACAATGGATGTCAGTCTATTAAAACTTTGAAAAGTCCTGCAATAAATTACCTGCGTAATTATATTTAATCCAGCCTTTCCCAAATGAACTTGGTCACAGAACCCCTTTTGGCAGCTCACCTATCAGCATCCTGAGGAACTAGTGCTGTTCTTAGCAAATTGCTGTCCTAGGGTGTTGCTGTCTGGCCAGGCTCTGGGCTTTGCGGCCAGAGGGGTTGGGGTGGCCAGGGCCGTTAGCCTCTTCCTCCGTTCCAGCCTCCTGGCTTCTGGGCTGACCGAGGACGCCCAGAAGAATAAACTAATTAAGGTAAAATGTGCAGCAGCGATGCGGAGCCTTGTAGATCATAAATGGGAACGGCAAAATCAATGGCGGCCCTTCTGCAGGCAGAGGCCCGAGGCCTGGGCGACTGGAGGGATGGGAGCCTGTGATTTAGGAAGAGCAAACGCTCTGGCAGCTGCAACCTGGGTAATTAGGTGTGTCAGGAAGACAGATAAACAGCGAGCTGTGCGGGTCGATGGCACTGGCAATAAACACCCAGCACTGGCCCCCGGCCCGTGTCAGCACCTAATTCTGCCTCTGGCTCCTTGTAGCTGCACTCTGCCCTGGGGTCCCTCACCAAGTTAGAGGGAGGCAGCTGCTCGGGGAGAGGAGAAGCTGCTAGTTGCAGAAGAGAGGGGCTCTCCTGAGTCCCTGGGGGAGACACTGAGAGGGTGGGGGCCTGGGAGAAACAGGAGGGTGTTCAAGGGCAGGGGGCTCTGGAGGTCACAGCCCCTATGAGAGGCACCTCTGGGGACTCCCATTCCCACCCTGACTTTGGCATCTTGGCATTAAGGGAGCCTCAAAGGTCTCAGAGTCCAGTGGAACTGTCAGTGGCTGTAGGCAGCCAGCTGGGAAGGCCCAGTGGGTGAGGCTCAGAAGCCACTGGCCCTGCTGAGTGCTGGGTGCTGTGGGAAGCCCCAGGGAAATAGGAGTATCCACCCCTGACTTGGGGTGCTTACAGTCCATTTGACAGCACGAGGGATAGATAGGTAGAGGAGATACCATGGGACCACAGTAAAACTAATACTAAACACTCCTACAGCACTTTCTATATGGCAGGCACTTCACATATTAACCCTCACTCATTAACCCTTACCACAACCCCACGAGATGGGTACTACTTTCATGCCCATTTTACAGATGAAGGGGACTTGCCTAAGATCCCACAGCTAGCAGAACCCCTGAGAGCAGGGCAGGACAGGACAGCACATCATGGAATTGCTGTGAAATCAGGATGGAAGAGGCTACAGTAATCAGGGAGGTCTTCATGATGGAGGAGGTACCTAAATGGGGACTTGAAGGGTCAGAGTAACAACAGCAATGACTCTGGTTTAAAGAGCACTTAGTATGGCCAGGCTTTACAGGAAGCATTCCCTTTTACAACCATCATCTTGACTAAACCCTATGGCAACCCTGAGAGATAGTGTTACCTCATTTTACAGATGGAGAAATTGAGGGGCACAGAGGTTAAGTTAATGCCCAAGGTCACAGAGCTAGTAAATGGTGGAGACAGACTCAAACACGGGTCTTTCTGACTCCAAGGACTGTGTTTCCGAGCCTTGCATTCTATGGCTGAGCCAGGCAGAGAGAGGAGGTGGTGCACCAGGCAGGCAAATGGCATAGACAAAGGCACCGAGGGGCACCGAGTTTGCCTGGAGAGGAGAGTTTGTGCAGGTGGAGGAGGAAACGGGGCAGGAAGCAGCGATCTACTGCTTCTAGGACTGAGGGCAGAGGGGTCACTGGTGGTTTCTGATGTGGGGAGGGCAGTGTTTCCAGAAGATTACCTGGCAGTGGAGTGAGCGGTGGGCAAGCAAGGGAGAAAATGAAGTGGGGAGGCCCCTTTCCTCGGAGCTCATGCTTGACCCAGCGTGATGACAATGGGAGTGGGGGAAGTGCTGGGGGCGGGAAGGGCAGAGGGATTGTTGGGTGTGCTGAGTTAGAGCAAGGGAGTGGTCCACAATGCGGGGCAGGGACAGGAGCAGGGACACTGGGCCGGCTGGGGGCGGGAGCAGGAGCT